TTTGTTTTATCTGCAAATCTAACAGTCTTACTGGGCTTTACTTCCTCTTTGCTAGGCCCCTGGGCAACATCTCGAGAGACGTTCTTTCCTTGCACACTTTTTGTTTCCAGTGCACAATGAAGTGAAACCAGTTCAAGGGCTCTACACGCTTTTATTCCCAATATAGCTGGTCCTACTGCATCAGTTATGTAAAAAATACAGTTAAATTTCCCCCTTTTATGTTGACATGGTATCAGTATTTTTCCAAATTGGGTAATCTCAGATCCCCCATATGCAGTTAAAATAACATCACTTCTTTGCAGAGCACCGTCCCTGGGCATTCCTTCTGCATTAATTAATTCAGGATATAAAACACGAAACAAATGAATGGGCAATACATTGCTCTGAGCACCCGTATCTACTTTGCATTTTAAATTTATATCTCCATTATTCTTACGGTTAACACGTAGGGTAGTAAATATTTCTTCACTAGTAGTATTATTATGATTTTCCACACTATTTATTTCAATAGTGCCAATTGTTGGGATATCTGCATACGGGTCAGTCTCATTTTGTTTCTCAAGACTATTAATGGATTTTTTGTTTTTTCGGTATAGCGACTTTGATCTATGTTGGCTCTTAGGTGATTTGCATACTAATTGCCAGTGATTTAATTTGCCACAATTCCTACATGTGGTACCATGGGCTGGACAGTTCCCTTTATGTGGCAGTTTGTGAGTTTTGCCACAATTTTTACACTGTATAATATTATTATGATTTTTATTATCAGAGTTCAATTTCTTGCGAGTAATGTTATCAATTTGCTGGGGATTTCCCTTATTTTGATTTGATAATGAATTCATTTGACGCTTTGTTGCTTCATAACTTCTAGCAATATCTATGGCAGTGTTTAATGTTAGTTTTTTGATCGCGTCCAATTAAGAATTTCTGAACTTCAGGATCATTTGTACCCCAAATTAGTTGATCTAATAATCTGTCCTCGATTTCTTCATTGCCATTAAACTTGCATTTAGCTGCGATATTTTTAATCTTGGCAATAAAATTATCGATTGACTCACCTTGGTCTTGTCGCATACCTTGTAAAGTAACCTGTGAATTCGATGATTTGTCCGTGGCTCCAAATGTTCCATAAATCTATCGAGAATCTTCGCTGGGTCTTTTTGGTCTTTTACGTCTTCAAATGTCCAACTGTTGTAGATGTCGAGACCTTGCTCGCCAACCCATAGAAGGATATAGCTGACTTGTTCTTCTCCTTCAGCGTCTTTGAGTATACTTTTGAACATCAGCTCACATTTTTGCTTGAATTTACCAAACGCTAAGATCGAGTCGTTAGTTTCCCAATCCATTTGAGGTGCTAAAAACGGTGCACTGAACGCCATTTTCGAGTGTCTTATATCGAAATGTTTTGTCCAATATTTCTTTCGTCTCTATCGCTGGTGTCGAAAAATCGCTCACATTAACAAGCTGGGGTTTTTATCCCACCGCTGCCACCATGTTATGTTGTCTTGACTCGATCTAACTCTCAGATTGATAAGGATTGTGAAGTATACTTTGACTATATTTTATTGTTGTTGTTGTACATTGCCACAGAGAAGCTGGCTTATTTATATTACATAAAACAGGAAGTAACTAACCGGATATGAATATACAACAAAAAATAAATACTAGAACATTCCATGCATAACATGGCGCACTCCACGCCTTGCCACCTCTACGTCTTCTCCTTCCGCCCCCATTTGAGAGCATTCTCTGTTATTTGTTTCAGTTCTGCACCATGCACTGGGAATGGATTAGAATTTGCGGTAACGGTTAAATTGGAAACACTCTTCTTACCACCAAGGCATATTTTAAGTAATAGACTGGTGGGCCATTTGGCCCGCCAGGCCCCCCAAGTGGCCCATCGCTTACAGGGTATTGGGCCACCACTGTGTGGGCCCCGGCAGCTTCAGTCTTTACATTTTAGCATCAAGAATATAAAATTATTTACCTTAAACAAGCTATTAAAACGCTAGTCTATAAACTTTCAATTTCATAAATATGTGTTGAATGTGACACTGCAATACTCAATAAGTTCAGGAAGCGTTTTAACACGATTACTACACAAATATTCAATACTCAGAGCTGGACCGGCAGCCGGCAGGGGGTGGGACGCGAAGGCCCTACCGTAAATTTTGGCCCACCACTGTAAATTCCTGAAAATATGCCTTGCTTAGCACTCACACCATAAAACAAAGAAATTATACTTGACTATAGGCAGGTTGGGACTGAAAGAATGCTGATATTATGCTGGTAGTTATATGTGGTGCAACATTTCCTAACACTGTCGGCTGGAAATATCAGCTTTCTGGTGACCGGAAAAAGGAATTTCAATATTTCAATATTTTAAAAAAGCAAATATTTCAAAACGCTTGCTTTATGTTGTCCGGATATTACATGCTTGCCAACTTAATAATCAGAAACCGATTCATGTAATACAAAACACTGCAATCTAAATGTCATCAGTCCAGAGTAGCCTATATTAGGGAAAGTGGAGAACTTTGGAACATTCCACGTTACACCTACATTTAAGGAAGAAAAATTTATTATAACTCATTGAGACCCAGCTTGTGGAAACAAGTTTTTAGCAAACAATACTCTTCTAATCATTTTAGTGATTTATGATGTTGTACATTGTAGCTTAATCAATCATCGATTTACTGAATCTATACAATTTGTATAAGACAATTTTCATGAGGTTCATTCCAGCGGCGTTTCTGTAGCAATCGTATAACATATACATCTGCTAGCAGTCGCCAGTCTGTAATGTTTGTCTACTGTATGTGAGTACAATGCAGTCAACCAGCTGATCAATGCTAAATACTAGTCAGTAGGAAATGACATAATTTATATATTTTGCAATTCGAGAAAAATCATATTTAGTAATTTACATTATTTTGCGGAAAGTTTGAGAACTTGAAACTTTACTTTTAGAAGAAGGTTGAACACTCTTTGCAACTCTGCCGCAACAAGGAGGCTCAATCAACAAGGCACCCATTTGCACGCATTGAACTATGCACATTGACGTCAATGCAATTTTCACCGCTTATTAAACACTCTTGCATTTAGAACTTCAGCACGCAAGCTCTCAATAAAGAAACTAGCAAATGTGTAGAAATATATCTCGTGTCAAACGATGGTAGTTCCCATACGCAAAATACATATTTTCAATATTTGCTATTTATACTATATATATATGCCTTACTGTGCGGGCTGGGACATTCCCCACAACTGACCAATTGCCCTGAAGGGAAAAATGTGACTAATTATGCAAATAGGCTCTTAATTGTTCGACCAATCTTTTCGACCTTATTCATAAACTAGTAAATAAATTTGAAACAAAAATAAATTTACAGACATAAAAAGACGTTATTATATATCGGCGAACAAGTTGTAGAGGTTTAGTGTCAAAGATCAGGATGTGTTCGCATTTCTTGTTTCCAGTGGTTGTGACAAGACTACAAAGTTGATGACTGTAACAGACTTTATGATACAAGTTGTTCCGATACGACTAATACAGGTTGTTTGTAACAAGTTGCTACAAGCTTGTTGTTATCAACTTCATGTTCAGTGAGAACAATACCAGACCTTCTGGAATAACTTGTTGCCAGTCTGTTGGCCACATCAAACATGTTACAAGGTGAAAACAACTTGCTCCAGACTTGTCAACAACTGGGAACGAGCAGTGCGAACACATCTTGTTGACAAGCTGTGAGAATTACGCACGTAGGTAGACGCTTGTGAGCCAGAATAAAAAAAGATAATTTTAATACGCTTGGATGCAGAATGCAAGATATATTGTTTTCAATGTAACGCTAAACTAAGGAGTTGTACTTGCAGATGGGTTGCTGAAAACCTAAAATTTACCCAGAGACAGAGCATTTGCGAAGTATTTCCCTTGTCATTTTTCAGCAAGAATCATAGGATATTCGAAAATTAAACCTACAGAATGATTATAATACTATTGTTTGTGGAAACACCACGTAAATTTATTACTGCAAACAATAGTGTTATATGTTTTATCGCCATGCAAACCTACAAAGAACTTTGAATAAATATTGTTAGAAATTTGCGAGTGCTTTTTTATGAACATCGTATAGGAAAGGGCCAATGCAAATGAGCCAATAATATAAACTCGCTAGCACGTCTGTTTAAATATATAGCTTGGAACTGTATAGGTATTGACATGTTTGTTTACTTTTTGAAAGGACCAATCCTATATACTCACTTGATAAAATGCACTTTCGTACTTTATTATCTTCGATGTCTTGTCAAAGCTTAATCCAGGAACACGTTGAGAAGCTTCTGAAAACAATCACCAACGGACGCTGTAATTCTCAAAAAGAATTAAGTGTAGTCTTCAGTGTTGCAGACGTTTTGTCAATCAATCGTACCCAGAAGTCCCAGATAGTCACATGAGTTGAAAAAACGAATGTGATTGGTCGTTCCACAAGATCAATTGGACCCTTTCATTAGCGCGGCCAGTATGTTTGTGTGGTACAAAACAAGGACTGGATTTGTTGGCTCGTGGACTCATGAACGCGTGGACTCATGAACTCGTGGACTCAAAATTTAACTTTTGACTCAAAACGGATTTAAAAACAAAAACAAAAACGTGAAACTGGACTTGATTTAAAAGCAAACATATCCCACAAAACCTATGCTTAAAGTGATATGCCAAAAAAACTTCCAATTGAAAAGAACATTTAAAATCATGCATGGGAAAACGTTTGTACAACTTAGCTTATTCAAATGTTGCTTAATTCTTGAAATATTATGACAAAAATCATCAGAAATCAGTAAGCTGTCCGCCTGCTACTTGTTGTTTGCTCTCATTGAGAAGTTTGTGTGGCTAATCCTGCTTTCGACGTCACAAAATCCGTACAATCGTTAATAAAATCAAAACCAATCCAAGATGGCGGACAACCTATTATTTCTAGTCAAAATATTTCAAAAACTATAAGCAAAGTATGAAAAACGGTGAAAGGATTTAATCTACAATTTTAAACGTTCTATCGAATGAGACAAATTTAACTTTTATCGCCATATCCCTTAAATATTTTAAGACAATAAAATACAAAATAACAACAAAAACAACAATAACAATAATATACAATTGGCTAATTATGCATTCACTTATCTCTACCTGACAAAGTAAGACAAATAATACTTTTTGTTTGTAGAAACACCACGTAAATTTGTAGAAACACCTGCACGTAAAATAAGACAAAGTTTTGCTAATTTTTCATCCAATGGACCATTCCCCAATTAACCAAAATTTTGATCTCAACAAGTCTAGACAAAAATTTCATCATGGCATGAAAGAACATCACAAAATTAGTAATATTCCAAAGTTTTGTTGCGAAATGTTGTAAAATGCGGATAATATAGCCTTGCGAAATTTGCAATTTTCAGTCATTTTAGATTACAAACGGGAAATGGTTACCACTTTTCCAAAATTTTGATCTTAACTAGCCTAAACAAAAATTTTATCACAGCTTGAAAGAGCATTAGAAAATTAGTAATATTCCAAAGTTTTATTGCAAAATGTTGTAAAATGTGGATAATATAGCCTTGCGAAGTTTGTAATTTTCAGTCATTTTGTATTACGCAAAGAAGTGGTAACCATTTCCCGTTTGTAATCTAAAATGACTGAAAATTGCAAATTTCGCAAGGCTATATTATCCGCATTTTACAACATTTTGTAACAAAACTTTGAAATATTACTATTTTGTCTAGACTTGCTGAGTTCAAAATTTTGGTTAATTGGGGAATGTTCCATTAAATCTCATCCAAATTTAATCAATTTGTACTTGGGCAATAGTTCCTGGCCACAATTATTCGTATTAGAACGTTTGATGTGAAGCTTTGAGGTAAATATCCTTGCACTGTTCACCGACATTGAGGACGAGGCGATTATAAGTATAGGTTAACCCGAGGCGATTATAAGCTAGTATAGGTTAATATCTCCGAGGTGCCTCAAAATAACGTACTTATTTTTCACATTGCGAGGTCGCGTTAATGAGTCAGAATAGAAATAATTCTTTATGCCATATTGCCTTCGTTATGTTGTTTTTTCTCATATCTTGTGCTGCAAAGACATTACATGCAGGCGAATGTTAAAGGGGATTATTAAATGGAAATTGATTAGAGGGGAATATTGAATATATTCCCCGATAAGAACAAAGGAACCCGAGCAAGGTGAAAATAATTGTTTTTAGCATTTACATAAAAAAACAAAAATTACCAAAAAACAATAACAAAAATAAACAATTCGAGTTACTTAATAGCTCCCGCAATGTTTGTAAACAAATCAGTGTTTACAATTTTCTAGTAATTTTATTCATTAATGGAAATAGTTTTAAAGAATACCTCTATACGGTTTTGTCTAAAAGTACACACGAGTGGCCACGAGTGACCACGAATAACCACGAGTGACTACGAATGACCACGAGTGACCACGAATGTCGACGAATGACCACGACTGACCATGAGTGATTTCTGTGTTTAAAAGTCATAGGGTTTTTGCATTATACTACACTTTTGTATCCAGAAAACTTCTGTTTCTTCACTTTACATGACACGAAGACGAAATTTATTGGACATTGACAATGCTCTCCTGAACATTGCAATTTACTACTTTTGCGCTGAAAGTCCGTTACTATGGTGACAGCGTGTTTGAATAATTAAGCTCAAAATTTGTCTTTTTCCGGCCGTTTTAAAAATTTAAAAATTTAAAAGATCTTTCTCGTATAATAATTTTTTTCTTCAATTTTAAAAAATTCAATGAGCTTGTTTAGCCTTGCATATTAAGAAATGGCAAAGTTTTAAAACAATTTACTGATCGAAGTAAAAGGGAGAAATTTAGGTTTAATTTTGGCATTTTTTTGCGAAATGTGACGTACAACCCTTACCCCAGCTGTGAAAATCAGGCAAAATTCAGGTAAAATTTCAGTTAAAATTTTGATATTTTCAGGTAAAATTTGCGTAATAAAGTGATTATTTGTGTGAAATGATTTTGTAAAATATACAGTCAATTTGCATCCAATTTGTTTGCGAATTGCTCTAGAAAACGCCAGACTTGCATTCCTAGATCGAGCTTCAAAAATGGAACAATTTTCTGGGAAGGACCCCAAAACCCCCGTTTTCTCCCGAAACTTAGTATGACAGTGCAAGTCAATCACAAAAAGCTTTATTATAATTATTACACTTTAGGTAAATATTTATTAATTCAAATTTAAATTCCAGGTGAAATCCTCCAACAACCTTCAAACTTCAAATGCTTTGCTACGTTCCTGTAGACTGACACAATAGTCGAAGAACTCAAAAAAATTTCCCTAAGAGATTTTTAAAATGGCCGAAAAAAAACAAATTTTGAGCCTTATCCTAAGCACGCTGTTGCCATGGTAACAAACTTTCAGCACAAAGGTAGCACATTGCAATTCTAATCCAGTGCAATGGCAAACGCGCCAAAAGAAAGTTTGTACGTTAAAAACTTAAATTAACGGCTTTTGTAACCCATATACTGTACGCCTTAATAATTGATTTTAATGCCACATAAAGAATTATAATAATCTCTTAATAAAAACTTGATTAAGGTTTTGTCTAACCTGGGGCCGGTTGTATAAAAACGTAGTTAGCGCTAACTGCAGTTAAAAAGTAGTTAAAAAGCCTTAAAAAATAGTTAACTTTAATTACGTAGGTAAGCCGGTTGTATAAAAGTGTAGTTAGCCTTAACTGCAGTTAAAAAGTAGTTAAAGTTAACTATGCTTTAGGGTATAGTTAACTGTCCAAAACGTAGTTAAAAATGGCGTTTGTATAGGAGTGAACAACATTTTTCAGTAAAACAACAATGTAAAGCAACGGTTACCTGAGATTTTCAATCGCTATTTTTCCTGTGAATGTTTCCTGACAATATAAACTCTTCAAACGCTATCGCTTTGGTGTTTTTACGAAAACAGAACATATTTTTGCACAGGACGATTTCTCGAAGACGAAGTATGGTCCATTACACCAAGAAACACTAATATGTAATTGCCAAACAGCTATAACTTGGTTTAACGTAGGCATCTCATAGAAAAACTGCATTCTTTTATAATTTTTGTGGCGCTTTTTCCTTGTTTTCTTGTATATATTTTTACTGTTTTCTAATGTTTTGAATAAAATTCCCGCTTATTTGGAAAATACGAGTCCACAATCATGTTGAAAATGTCTGTCAGCGGTCTTAAGTCATGTAGTTAACTAACTACAGTTAAGGATTTAACTACAGTTAGCGCTAATTACGTTTTTATACGAAGTTCAGGCCCAAATCACAGAATAGAGCCTGACACAAAACCTATCTAAACTGTGAGATTTCCGTCCATCTGGTGGACGGGAAATCTGATTGGTTGAACAGCATCAAGAAGGATTTTGATTGGTTGCAAGTTCACATAAACAACAGTTTTAAAAATAGCTCGGTCTAGGGCGATAATTAATATAAATATCAAACGCAAGTAACCGAATTCCATTATCGATTTCTTCGAATTTCTTTTCTTTTATGCTTTATAGCAGAAAATAAATCAAACAAACAGTATTTTGAAAAAGCTTCATCAAAATCTTTTTTCATGATAAAGCCAAAAAACGTTAGAAACAAAATGAGATTGATACAGTAATTTGAGCAATGAAATGCTAATACAACAATTACAATGTGAACAATAACGAATAATTACATCACTACAATTCAAATAGAGTAGTCACTAGTTAAGCAGGACTACTTAGACTAGGTTAGACTAGCGAATATGCCAACTACTGCGACTCGTTTCCACGGTGGATGGGTGGAGCGGATGACTGACACAACACCGCACCTGAGCACTAATCATCGTTCATCAAGATGTCTGTCTTTCACTGTTTCAAAGCTGTTTTCAGTCCCAAAAATTAAAATAACAACCAAACGAAAGTCTCGACAAAAGTACAAAAGTACGAAACTTTCAATTTGCGAAGCCAAAACTTGGCTGTTTCCAAGCCATTTGTATAAAATTTCCGTAAAGAATTTTACAAATTTTCCTCAAAAGTTAGGGTTATTTATGAATAATTTGGGTTATTTATGGATAATTTGGGTAAAACCGGCAGGAATGTGTTGGATAATTGGGGTAAAAATTGACATCATTAATATTTAATTTTGTGGCTGAAGAAATCCGACATCCGACAAAAAAAATCCGAGCCGAAACCTACAGTCGCTTGGGCACAGGTGCCCCAGCGACTAATAACACATTTTCGGGCTACCATGCCTTTGCACTAAATCGCACCCACAGATGTTCAATGATTCACACAGAAACACTCTAAAACGTAGACTGTATTTTTGATATACTATATCTTTGGTGACAAGTAGTGTAAGAAATTTTGCACTTGGCACTGCTCGCTCATAAATAAATTTCGAAATTGTGGATCAGTTTACACATTATTCCAGGACAAAACAAAAGACCATTTTAACTAAATATGAATTGATTACCGTACTCTTCTACCAAGCCACAAAATTTACTTCTTAATTAAACTCTTTAAAAATTTATTTACCAAAAACAAAAAAGCAATATTTATTTAATATTTTGAGACCAAAAGAAAACCTTTTACTGAGCACAAGGTATTAGAACTCTAAAATCAGAATTTTTTTACATAGTCGCTGGTTGTAAATCTTGTAAATCATTCCGGCTTGTTCATTAAAGAGTACGTAAATTACTACATATCAACATAGTGCAAACATCTTCACAACAAAATCACGTGAAATTTACGGCAGTTTTTTATTATTTCTCAAGTGTGAGTGCGCTTAAACGTGCACTTGCAAGTCTGCAAATACAAAGTAAATGAGTGTCGCTTTTGTATTGTTTCATTACTGTAAAATACTGGATAATATTATGATGATGAATCTATACCAATACATAGTTTATAATATCCCAGAGTCAACATATTTTACAGAAAAACCTCTGACAGCCAAGACTGTGGCAAATTTTAGCGAGCTTCTTGTTGCCCATCCCAAACTGCACATGCGCACTAGCTTGGGTCTTTAGAACCATTTTAAACTAGAACTGCATAGTTACCGAGTCCATATTCTATTGCCTTCTTTGACTTGCAATATTTAGTACGTATACCAAAATATCTAAGGCTAGATCAAAATTTATCCAACAAATAACTACACGAAACTCAGTGATATGCCATTTTTATAGCTACAAAGATGTTTACATGCACGGAAGTAAATATTACTCAAGGCGCCGATTTCTTGCAATTATTCTTATGAAAGCAGGTATAACCTACGCACCCGAAATTCGCAGCTCGCTAGAAGGATTTCTATCTCGTTAAAAAACACTAACAATAAAAATATTCGTACGCTAGTGTTTACAAACGCGAGACTTCGTAGATACAGAAAGATACGTGGTCGAAACGTAATTTGAACCATTTGTATATCGCATCAAGCACAGGTTTTTTGTACGAGTTTTCGCGTAAGCAGCGCGCGAATTTGCGCGCGGCTCGCTTAGATGTAATGCAACAATATGAATAAACAAATTTACCTGACGTTTTTGCAGCAACAACGTTCTCTGTAGCTAATGCCCTTTCTAGTCTGAATATATGACGAAACATCTTGTGATTATCCCGTGATCTCCTCCATGTCCATAAGTAGACTTTTTTAAAAGCATTTCAACTTCCTGTCTAGGAATTGCACAATTTTCAGAATGTGTTGACAGACTTGTATCACGGAAAAATAATAATTATTGTAAACATTAGGTGTGAGCTTAATTATTGTAATAATTTAAATTCGTGTAAACAGTTCAACAGTTTTGTAAACTGTTGTATGTTATTTCGTAGAAGTAATGTTTATTTTCACATAATGGTATACGTAGAAACGGCGAGTTTGTACATTTCCAAATGACGTCAGAAGGATTAAGGTTGCAGCAAAGGTTAAGATTAAGGTTAAGATCAGGTTTAGAGTGGGATTTAGATTATCAGAGTAAATCGGGTGGGGGGTGGGGGGTATTAGCATTGGGTGACTTTCCATATAACTTGTCCCCAAAGCATAATATCTACGATTTAGTCAGAGCAGCCTATAGGGTTAGGGTTTGGGTCAAGATTAGGGTCAGAATTAGAGATTAAGTTTCGGGATTGTTAATATGGAAATTGACGAAACATTTTTGTCTCAATGATACTTAACTAGCAGTAGTGATTGCCCGTTTACGCAGGGCAAGTAAAAACAAGATCCTGGCTGCTGCAGGATTAACTCGTGCCAGGAAGTGTAGGAGAAATAAGTCAAATAAAATTGCCAAAGGCGAATAAAATTGGTCAAGTCTAGTTACGCAACAGTTTAAATATATTTCTACACGATTAAAAATTTTACTTAAAACATCAGGGGTATTATGTCAAGGATCAAAGTAAAAGGTTAAATTTGACACTCTTGAGTGTACGTTTTGCGTTTAATTATCCTGTTGTCAAAACACATAATTATCCTGGTGTTATGTTACAACTAGTTTCCGTATTAAAATCTCTCTTAGACCTCAGTATAAAGACATTATTATGTCTGTCAGGAAACACTGCCTTGTTAGAGGTTTAGATTCGTATATTTGAAATTCATATATTTGAAATAATATCAACCGAAATCAAATTTCATGACCTATTTTTAGAGAATCAGTCATGACTGAAATCATTTGCTTCAGGTTTTGGTTTATGTGAGGGTATTCTTGAGTTTCATGTGACGTCATAAATCTTAATGCGGGTCAACTAAATCAAGACATCGTCACAGAAGTGAATTAAATGTTCGCTGTATGCGGAGTTGGGCTCGTGTTTCGTAGCAAATACGTGCAATTCCCTATCTTTTGCTCTTTCCAGTTAAGATTGACCCCACTCAAATTTATGGTTAGGACGAGCTAAACGAATACTAGGGGCGCGAGAGAAATATGCACGTCTAGGTTTGCAATGCTTGCTGGCATTGTACACATGACAACACATTAAATTTTATGAAACTTTATTTCTTTACATATTGCGACAATAACGCAGAAATATTTTATCAAAGAAGATACACGGAAACACAGAATTGTTCCAGTTAACAGTTACAGTATGGAAAATTGGCCGTTTACAGTGGAGACACAACAGCGGTTGCGTCAATTCTTATCTTCTTCATGGCTTTTAGTGCTTGCCAATTGTTCGTGCAAAAATCGTAAAATTCCACGGAGTTATAGTGTCCTCCCATTACGACAATGACATCATCTGTAACGACTGCTGAACAGCCGTTCCTCGCATGTTTCATAGCAAGAAACATGTCATTCTCTCCTGTTTTTGTGTCGTACCTGGTAACGTTCTTTGTGGTTTCATTAACCCACCGACGATCTGACACTACTCTGTTCTTCCCTCCCAGTAAAATGATTTGGTCCCTCCAAAGGACTGTAGCCATACCAAACATAGGAATCGGCAAGCCAGGGGCATCTAGACATTCATTTGCCACAAGATCGTAAATTAATACATCCTTCGAATTGCCGCCGGATATCCCACCAAACGAACACCTTTTCGTTCACAAGTTCTGCTTTATAAAAATCACCTACCTGGTACGAGAAACGATAACTAGCTAGAGAGAACAATTCTTTATGGGCATGTGGAGGAGTAAGAGAAATTTCAAAAAATGTAAATCCATCTTTCTTGAAACTTTCACATATTACAATCAACTTCCCTTTATAAATAAAGGTTTGGTGGCAAGCCTGAGGAGCAGGTAGCTTGATATCCGACATTTCCCATTGTAAAGGACATTGATCAAGATTCAAAATCTCAACACTATCAGTAGGCGCATTTCTACCAGACTGAAGATTATAAGTCGTTCCCCCACTGACAATAACTTGATTACCAAGGACAACAGACGAAGCTGATGCACGTGGCACATTCATTGGTCCTACATCAACCCATCTTCCTTCTCTCGAGCAGAACTTTTCCACAGAATTAGTGGGCTTGTAATCCTTACCGAAACTACCCATAATAAAAATATCATGGTTGATTCCGTGATTAAACTGCCGAAGTGAACGGGCGACATCGGTCTTCAAAGTTTGGGCACGAACTTTTGGTCGAGAATTGCTTTGGGTAGCTTCGAAAATACTCTCTATCTTGTCGAGGCTTTCTTTAAGTGCCTGTTTTACACCTTCTTTCATTCTTGATTGACTGTCCAACACTTCAGCCATCATTTCTTTTTTCAGCTCTCCGCAGCCATAACACTCGACTTTTCTGAATTTACAAAGCTCAGTCTCATAACGGACTTTTTCGCATTCATTCACCTTTGCTCCACAACCTTCATTGCCACACTTGGCTGGTGCAAAGCCACATTGATCAACATGGTTTTGCAGATTGCTGAGCTTGACATACTCGGGACATCCTCGGTTGCTGTAGATACATTTAATACGCAACTCCGAAATACAATTCAGCAACAATCTTGGGGGTTGAACCAGAGTGTCCGGGGTTAATTCGTCCATACACTCGGGACATTTGTGAGAGTTCTTAAGATGAAAAAATAGAGGATGCGTAGCCAGGTTGAAACATAATTTATTTATTAAACGTTCTCTGACTAAATATTTATTTCTACGAGCTTTCGGCTATCAGTCTATAGCCTTCGACAGTGTATACAAATGATTCTATAAAGGACGCTAAACTTAAGTAGGTGGTATGAAATATGAGACTATCTATGCTATGTTACAAATGAGGAATATAAATATTTAATTAATGTTTCTTAAGTTCCTTTCTTAAAAGTATTGTGTATTGTGCTGGAAGCGTATTAGAGTTATTATCAGCTTGGTCTGTTAGTGCAGTGTGCCAGGACTCTAAGGTTTTAAGGTTCCTATGATTTCCCTTGTCTATTACTTTAGCATTGGCAAAGTCAATAATATGATCTTGAGTCCATGCGTGTTTCGCGACATTGGACCCCTTCTTGCGTCGTTTCACATTCCTTACGTGTTCGGACTTTCTCGTCTTCAGGGATCTTCCTGTTTCGCCTATGTAGCTCCAACTGCAATCTTGGCACGGTATCTGGTAGACCACGTTCTTTTGTTCTTCTGTTGGTGGTTTCTGTTTTGCAGATGGGAATTGGCGTTTGAGGGTTTTCATTGGCTTATTATAAACTTTAATGTCATGTTTTTGGAGTGTTCTAGCTAGAGGTTCGGTTAGTCCTTTGATATATGGTAGAACCGCAATTCCTGCAGATGGCGCCTTTCCTTCAACCAGTTCGAAAAATGACCGCACTAACTCTTCAGGACTTGCTACAGTTTTGTTCTTATGTTTTTTTATTAATCCTGAAATTAATTTCTTTGGATAACCATTTGATGTCAGGACTGTGGTTACATGATTTAGTTCTCTTTCTTTGCTTTCGTTAGTGGTAGGAAGTGGCAAGGATCGGTTGATAAGTGTTGTTGCACAACGGTCGTGGTGTGATAGGCAGTTTAAGTAACGGTCTGTGTGAGTAGCTAGGTTTGCGGTAAACGTCAATAAAAATTAAGCCGTCGTTTCTAGAAACTAATGTGTCAAGGAAAGCGATCTTTCCGTCCTTTTCGTTTTCGATAGTGAAGTCAATGTGTGGGAGTTTAGTGTGTCATGAAAAGATGATATGTTAGTCTTTTTTATTATGGAAAAACAATCGTCTACAAAACGTTTCCAAACTTTAGGTGGTGAAGTTGCGTCTCGGATGGCCTGTTCTTCTATCACTTCCATGCACAAGTTAGCAACAATCGCGCTAACGGGGCTGCCCATGGCACATCCATGGATTTGTTTGAAGGTGTTGTTGTTATAAACGAAAAAACTGTTAGATAAAACAAAAGATAAAAGTCGAATAATGTCGTCGATGTCAAGTTGAGTTCTGTCCGGAACCAAAGCAAAAGTAATGCTGATTATTTCGACAACCTTTCGGGTTATTCAGAACGTTAAAGCATATGGCGCATTTGAAATTTTCACTTACTGACAATTCAAAACGTTCTTCCTCAAAACCTCTGTCTCTTGCAAACTTAGATGCCATTTCTGACAATTTCTATATAAAGGAGAAATTATTATAAGAAATCACACTCAACATTTAACAGATTGAGTGGCAGTACACTTCTATTCAAAAGTAAAATTTACTCTCTCCAATGTCTGATGATTTTACTCATCAAGGGAAGAGTGCTGCCACTCAATGGGTTAACCAAACAATCTGTCAATGTATCCTGTTAACCCTTTAAGTGGCAATGCACCCTGATGCTGCCTATCTTTTATCTACTGTCTGACAACATTATTTTTCAAAGGGCGAACAATGCCACTTAATGGGTTAAAATCAGAATTTTCCTAGGAGAAAGGGTAGGGGTGCGCATTAGTCCTAACGGGCCGTCGACAAATAGATTTTGTCCACCAATCGCAGACTTGTTCCGCAATGGTTTGCCCTCCCTCCCCCCTCCTCCATCGCGGACCAACATGCGAAAGAATAAAATTTGGTATTTAGAATGCTGTTTTGAAAACGAATATATACCCAACAAACCAGTGTTTGTGGTATCCTACTTTTATTAATATGCTATTTGTAAGAAACACGACACGAAATTTTAAAAAAATACCTTTAATTTGTAATGAAAAACAACGAATTCGAACGAAAATCACAAAACCCATACCATACGTGCAGTCATGCATGTTTAAAAATTTGTAATAAATTGCTTTTTAAAAAACTGTTGTATAAATGCTGGATTTTTAGATAATATGTGATGTGGTTTTCCAAACACTAAGGGAGTGTTTAACTGAATCCGGATTGAGTTATAATCTGGATCGAACTCATTCAGTTTAGAGTTGGGCGGTATTGAAATTTCAATACCGGTTACGGTATTTTAAAAATACCACGGTATACCGGTATACCGTTACAATTTTTGCAGAGATGTATGCAAGTACATAAATTTGTAATAAATAGCTAAATACTAAGGAAAAAACCCTTAAACTCATTCCCGACATAAAAATAAACAAAGTTTCAATTAACTTTATGCTATATGCTATTCTCCAAGATATCTTGTAGGTTTGCTTCTCGTTTGTGAAATTTTCTTCATTTCTGGTAGCTTAAAAAGAAAGATAAATTACTGCTAGCCAACTGATACCGGTATATTTTATAATATACTGTAACAACGATATACCGGTATAGCGTCGAAACCAATACGGCCATACAGATATCAACAAAAATACAAGTATACCGCCCAACTTTAATTCAGTTTCTGTTAAAACTATAGGGGATTGGATTATATTTGTTTACATGAATCAGGATTGAGCTAAGGCCTACTCTGGGGTGGTAAATCGCCTTAAATCGCTTTTAGGCGATTTAGGGCGATTTAAGCAAATAATTTAAATTTTAGGGATTGCAATTTAGGTATTTTCAAAAGAATTGAATTTCATATTTTGCTCCGGTTTCTTCCAAGAGGGCAAAATTGGCAGCGTGGGTTAGGATAAACACAGTTAGGAAAGTCTAGGCTAAGATAAGAAATCATCAGGGATGCCGGAACAATGATAAGGCAAAGGGGGGCGGACGCACACCAAGGGCACCTATATAAAGCAAAACTTCAAAAATTACTGAAAATTTTTTTTTTCAAAGGAAAGTT